TGCGTGCGCCGAGCACCTTGCGCGCGCCGAGCACCTTGCGCGCGCCGAGCACCTTGCGCGCGCCGAGCACCTTGCGCGCGCCGAGCACCTTGCGCGCGCCGAGCACCTTGCGCGCGCCGAGCACCTTGCGCGCGCCGAGCACCTTGCGCGCGCCGAGCACCTTGCGCGCGCCGAGCACCTTGCGCGCGCCGAGCACCTTGCGCGCGCCGAGCACCTTGCGCGCGCCGAGCACCTTGCGCGCGCCGAGCACCTTGCGCGCGCCGAGCACCTTGCGCGCGCCGAGCACCTTGCGCGCGCCGAGCACCTTGCGCGCGCCGAGCACCTTGCGCGCGCCGAGCACCTTGCGCGCGCCGAGCACCTTGCGCGCGCCGAGCACCTTGCGCGCGCCGAGCACCTTGCGCGCGCCGAGCACCTTGCGCGCGCCGAGCACCTTGCGCGCGCCGAGCACCGGCTCCCGTCCTTCCTGCAGTCCTACTCACTGGCCTTTTAGGACAAGGTGGAAGCGCCCGTTCAGGCCTAGGAGGGCTCCAGACCTCAAGCCCTGAAGTTCCGCTACTCTTTGTAACCTTCAAGCACTTGGGCCTCGGTTTCCCAACTCTAGTAAGAGAGAGGAGTGGGTTCCAGACCAGGCTTCTCCAACTTTACCGTGCACACCAAGCACCCGTTAAACTGCAGATCCTGATCCAGTAGGTCGGGTCGGGCTGGATAGTCTGCGTTTCTAACAGGCTCCCAGGTGTTGCTGATACTGCTGGTCCAGGGACCACATTTCGAGGAAAAAGGCAGTAAATGAACTCTTGGCTTCTCCCCAGCTCTCACACACCCTGCAGGCCTCGTTCACACAGCTGTCCCCTGCTGTAAACAGTGAGTCAGGACAACGTGGCAGTTAAGCACTTGTGTCTGGGGACAGATAAATCTAAGCTGAATCTCGTGCTCCACCTATCTTAGTTGTGTGGCTTTACCCAGTCATCTGACCTCTCAGTGCCTCAGTTACCTGATCTGCAAAAGGGAATAGCAATAGTCTTTCTCATAGATTCATTTATTTCCGTGAAAGGTTGATATTATGGATTGAATTGTGTCCCCTCAAAGTTTAATGCGTTGCAGGCTTGGTCCCTACTGTGACAGTGTTAAGGGAGTGGGAAATCCTATTGTAATTGAAAGATGGGGCCTTGAAGAGGTGATTGGATTATGAGGACCCTGCCGTAGTGAATGGTTTAATGATGGTCATGGTTCTGAGGGCTTTGAAAGGAGAGAACATGAGGATTTCTCTCTCTGCTCTGCCATTTCTCAATGTGATACTTTGTGTCACTGAAGTCACCACCAAAGAAAGCTCTCACCAGATGTGTTCCCTGGACTTTGGACTTCCCAGCCTCTGAACTGTAAGCACAATATTTCATTTTCTTACGAATCACCCAGTTCCAGGTATTTTGTTATAAGTGACAGAAATGGACTAATACAGTTAATAAGAAAATCCTTATAAACTACTTAATCCATTGGAAGTGCTCAATGGACATTTGCCCTTATGAGGACTATCATACAATGTGTAGACACACAAAAACGTTTGTCATCTTGTTTAATATGTCTCCCCACTCAGTTGTAAGGATGATATATACTGTCCTGTTCATTAAAATAGCCACAGAACCTAGCACAAGTCTTGGCACTTAGTATGTGCTCAATAAATACGGACAGAGAGGAAGGGAGGAGGAAGGAAGGAAGAAAAAAAGGGGAAGAAAGAGAGACTATTAGAGCTGCAGGAGGCCACAGAGATGACCGGATGCGCCTCTGTCATTGCACAACCCTGGAGAAGTCTGGCCACAGGAGGTCTGGCCAACTCTGCCCTCCATCTGTCCCTCGGAGCTCCCTCCGGTGTTCTCTCAGAGAGAGGCTCCCTGCCTTGTAGCCTTCACTCTCCTGCCTTCAGCTTCTCCTTCCATTCTGGCTCACAAATGCTCAAGTCTCTCTCCACCTCCATCCCCCCCAGAAAGCCCTTCCCTCCACCCCCTTCCCTTCCCTTCCCCCTCACTATCATATTTCTTGAAAGAGTAAATTGACATGCTGCCAGCCCTGTCTTCCCCTCCCACTCGCTCCTCAGCCCACAGCAATCTGGCACCCACCCCTACCACTCCTCTGAAAATGCTGTCAGTGAAGTCCCCAAAGCCCTCATAATTTGGCAGAGCCTATGGTTCCTTTCTCATCCCCACCCTGCCTGACCTCTAGGTAACTTCATGCCCTCCTCCTTTCCTTCTTAGCATTCCCCGCCTGTGTGGTTTTCTGGATGCTGCCTGCCTCAGCTGCTCCTCCTCTCCCTGCTTCCCTGGTTTGCCTTTCTCGTTCCTTGAGCCACCCATCTAAATGCTGCTGCATCCAAACCTCTATCCCCAAGTGCTGCCCAGGGTATGTTAAAAAGCAAAGATCCTGCAGAGCGTTCCAGGTGAGAGGAAACTGAACTCAGATCCCATCCAGGCTCTGTCCCTTACGAGCTCTGTTACCTCTTTGCTCAGGCTCCTCATCCGTCAAGCGGGGGTAATGTTAATTCTGACCTCACGGGGTGGGTGTGAGGGCTAAAAGCCTCAGTAGGTGCTCTGCGAGCGGTAGCTATTATTTTTATTGTGAGGAGGAGGAAGTGGAGGAGGACGGTGATGTCATTCCCTTGCTTAAAAGCCTTCATTGGCCTTCTTTCCCTATACGGTAGAACCAAATTGCTGACCCTGGCGTTCAAAATTCCCTCACAATCTGATTGTCCCAGCCTTTCCTTCAAAATTAATGCCATTTTTCCATCACACTAAAACATGAGAAATTTCCTTTCCTTTTGGATGATCCTCAATGCTGCATATAGAACGGGCACTGAAGGAAGGAATTCATCTTCAACCTTGATAGTCCCTGCACACAGTAGGGACATAGTAGCTTGCAGTCGATTTGTTAAATGAACTGTATCAGAAGTTACAGACATATTCCTGAATCTTACTATGGCGATATTAGGCTATCACCCCAGAATCTGTGTACAGCTCCTTCGAATCTAATTACATTTTCACTCAGTACTGGTGCTCAGCATAATTATCTCCAGGAATTGACTTCCTCTGAGTGGCTGTGATTCTACACACTGGGGAAGTAACATTGAACCAGCATGAGAGGGCCAGGCTGGCCATCATCTGGTCTGGGACCCCTGCTCTGTTCTGATGGATAGTTCTGTGGCCTTGGTTACATCACCCAACCTCACTGACCTTTGGTGGCCTTGTTTCATTCAAATGAGCATGATTATCTTCATGTCCCAGAGTGGTCTTAAAGGTGAAATGAGACCACATGCACATGCAGGAAAGAACATGGTACAAATACTAATGTCCCCAACTCACCTCTCAAGGTTTAATGTTTCCCTTTATGAAAGTTAACCAGGTCAATTTCCTCCTTTTGAATTTAGTAAATAAACATGTCAGGTCCATTCCCTTGGTTATTTCATGGCTCTTGAAAAGCCTTAATCTTTTCACTTCATTCTTATGCACAAATGCCCACATCTCCTCCATCATTTCAGGGCCTCATTTCTGGACCTTTTCCATTTCATCGTTTCTTTGTTGAGGGGCGGTGGCCTGAAGAGCACATACCCAGTGTCCTTGGGTGATGTACTCAGGTTGGACACAAATGGGACACATATCTCATTTCCAGAGCTGACTCTAATGCAACATAGTGGGTAAGAATGTGGACTGTGCAGTCACATTGCCTGGTGTCAAAGCCCAGCCCCACCATCTTGGCAAATGACCTCATGTCTCTGGGCCTCAGTTTTCTTATCTGTAAAATGGGAGTACTAACAGTATTCACCTTTTAATTGTTATGAGGATTAAGTGGGTTGGTATTTGGAAAGCACTTGGATTTGTGCCTGATATGGACATGTGTGTTAAGTAAATATAAAAATAGTCTTCAGAGAACAGAAAAGTCATGAGTTCCTTATTTCTTTCTTGGAGCAAGCATTCAAAGTCTTTCTTCTGGAAGCAGCAGTTGCTATCCTGAAGGCTCATTTAAACATCAGCATTGCTCATTTATTCATTTGCAAAATACTTCTGGCTCTTTAATTATTTTCCAGACACAATATTAGTCACTAAAGAGAGATACTAGGTTTGCCTCAATGGTACACTGGAGCCTGCTGACCAGCATGAGAGCCAATTATTGCATTTTCAGGGATTTTGCAAGCCACAATTGTTGGTATCTTGAAATCTTCTCTGGTGGTTGTATTTACACCACAGGAATATGCAAATGCTACAGATCAGCCCCACCCTCACCAGCCAGTGTGCCAGCCCATCATTACAGGATAGTGGAGAAGGCAGATGTTAATCAAGCAACACAGAAATGAATGGAAAGTTAGGGATTCTGGGAGATGCTACAAAGGAGAGTCTGCAGTGCTGGGAGAGTTTGTAACTGAACCATCTGACCTTGTCAAGGAGATCAGGGAGGGCTCCCTGAGCAAGTGACAGATGAGCAGAAGCCTGAAGGGAGAAGAGCAATGAACTGGATGAGAAGGGGGCCGGGGGTCCTGAAGGTGATCACAGAGGCTGAGGCTGGAGCGTATAACATGGAACAAGATATGCCTGAAGGTGAGGCATTTTTAGCAGTGGGTGACATGAGAGCACATTTACATTGTGAAAAGATTACTGCTGCTGCAGTGTGAAAAATGGATTATAGGGAGGGGGCGGGGAGCAGTGAAGAGGCTACGGCAGTGGTCCAGGCAAGAGATGATGGCAGCTTAGACGAGGGAGGTGGCATGGAGAAGGAGAAAGGATGATGGGGATGAGTGATATTGAGGGGGTGAAATCCACAGGACTTGACTGTGGGGGATGGGAAGGTTAGGGAAGGGAAGATGTCAACTACATCTCCCAGGTTAGTAGAACTACACCATCCCATCAGGGGAGTGCTGGGTCTGCTCCACTTTGTGCCGATATGCCACCCTCAGCTGCCCTACTTAGGGTATGATGGACCAAAACCCTGGGGCCAGTGGACTGTCCTCAAATGTGTCAATGGCTGCTGAACCAGAAACCTACACTGCAGAACCAGGATCAAGGAGAGGAAGCAGAAAGGAGTTAGGTACCAGGAGGAACTTCCTACAGGTCATTCACTGAGAGAATAATCTGACCGAGACATCATGAATGCCACCGAGAGGTAGAGCTGGACTGTCGCAGCATGAGTCAGGAGTACCACAGGGGCTTCCAGTCGTGGAAGTCTGAGATGAGATTTCGCAATTGTGAAAATCTGAGTCCACAATTTTCTGCAAAACCCTTGCCTCATTGCTACCACCATACTTTCTTCTAGTAGGTTTGCATTAATGGTCCCAATTCCTCACCTTGCCACAAGGCTTTTCATGACCCTCCCAACTTGTTTTGACCACTAGAATGAAGCAAAAGTGATGAACGCCAGTTCCAAAACTTCCCTTCTCCTGCTTCTGTCATCACCATGAGAAGGATGTTCCCAGGTCAGTCTCCTGGACCACGAGGAAAACTGGATGCACATACAGCAGAACTGCCCCCGCTGAGGTGCCCCAGACAAACCCAGACTAAAGCAGACACCCCACTAGACTCACAGACATATGAGCAAACACAGCCCAGATCAGCCAACCTGCAGCCTCATGACTTACAAGCTAGAATAATAAATGTCTGCTGTTCTGAGCCACCGAGTACTGGCTTTTGCTCATGTCCCCTCCCACTTCTTAGAATTCTCCCTTTTGCTTATCAGATACAGCTCATTTTCTTAAGCAAAGTTTAATGCTTG